CTTCTAGTCTTTCATTACATCTAACTCAAATCCTCTATCCTTCCGGTCTTTCCTTACATCTAACTCAAGTCACTCCTGCTATAGTGATTTTTCTGGCTAGAAACAAGCAGCTGAACTCTGGGAGCACATTTGATTTTTTTCTTCTAAGGAAGGATTGGTAAAGTTTTTCTGGAAAGAGATAAATAGTATATATTTCAAGCTTTCCAGGCTGGATGATCTGTGTTGCTCAATCCCAAAGGAGCCAGAGACCACACATCAACACATAAACATGTCTGTGTTCTGGTACAATTTCACAGACCAAGGAGGGGACTGGATTTGGCCGATTGATTGTAGCTCACTGACCCCTGCTCTAAGTAAACCAGCCTGCCTTTTATTTCCCAGAGTGCACACAGAGTTCCTCCTCATCTGGACAGTGGAAGCAGAGCCCATGGGTCCCGCTCTGGGGCAGAGCGGCTGCCTGTTTCTCTAGCAGTTTGCAAGCATCTCCAGGCCAGCACCAGGCCTCTTTTAGCTCTGCAGTCCTAGAAGAAACAAAGAGCTTGAAGGAAATGCAAACATAATACAATCTCAACCTAAAATGCTTCCAGGCTAGTGGGGAAAATGTTCTTGGAAATAGAGCTAAGTTGAGTGAGGAAGATAAAAAGAGGAGTCAGGAGAATGTGATTCTTGCAGACCTACCTTTGAAAAAGTTAGGAAAGGAGAAAGGAAAACAATTAAGTACTAAAGCCTGATGCTCTAAAGCACTGGAAAATGGAAAAATAATAAATAAATAATAAATAAAACCAATACACTGAAAACTGTTTGGTAGTTTACTTGTGAAAGTGTCACATCCACATATGATCCAGCAACCTCACTCCTAGGAATCTACCTAAGAAAAATAACAGCCTCCATCCACATAAAGCCTTGTACATGAAGGCCTCCAGCAGCATTAGTCCTAATAGCTCCAAACTAGAAGCCACCCAAATGTCTGCCCGTGATCAATTAAAAAAACCAAAGGTGTTGGAGATCTGTAATGGAACAGCATCCACCAATAAAGATTACTCTGGCAGGGGCTGGAGAGATGGCTCAGTGGTTAAGAACACTGACTGCTCTTGCAGAGGACCTGGGTTCGATTCCCAGCACCCACATAGCAGCTATGAACTGTCCTCCAGTTCCAGAGGAACCTGAAGCCCTCTTCTGACTTCCATGGCATTGCATGACATAGGTGCACTCACATACATGCAGGAAATACACTCATACACATAAAATAAAAAATAATAAAATATTAAAAAATAATAAAAAGATTACTATTGGCAAATGTTTCACCATGGATGGATCTCAAACACACGTGAAAGACACCAGATTCAAAAGACCACATATTTTGAGCCCATGTAGAGGAAATGTCTAGAAACTACAAATGTAAGGAGACAGAGCAGATGGGTGGTTGTGGGGACAGGCCCAGGACTGACTGTAAGGACACAGGGGAAGCATTACAGTGATGTGCCTGGCTCTCTACATTTGCTAAAATTACTGGATGAACACTTTCAATTAGTCATTTTCAGTCTTATGGTATGCAAGTTATGTATCAATAAAGCTGCTACATGTAGAAAGGAGCCTGGTGCAAACCATTCTTCTAACTAAGGCTGAGAGACGATGCTGCATGAGGGGAGATAAAATGCAGGTGGCATTGCTGTAAAACATCTAAGGTGAATTTTCCTAGAGGTCAATCTACAATGCTCTTCCTCAGGAGCTATCCACCTTGTTTTTGAGACAGGGTCTCTTACCAAGACCTGGGATCCTCAATTAGGCTAGACTCACTAGCCAATAAGCCCCAGAGATCCATCTGTTCCTGCTTCCCCAGTGCTGGGGTATTATAAACATGTACCACACCTGGCCTTTTTTTTTTTTTAAATGCAGGTGCTGGGGAATCAAACTCAGGTCCTTATGGTTGTGCAGCAAGCACTTTACCAACTGAGCTATCCCCCTAGCCCTTGATTCATCTTTTTTATGTAAAACTTGAGAATTAAAAAAAATTATTTATTATTTTTATTTTATGTGTATGAGTGTATTGCCTGCATGTATGTGAGTGCACCCGTGTCATGCAATGCTGTGGAGGTCAGAAGAGGGCTTCGGATTCCCCTGGAACTGGAGTTAAGGATGGTTCGTAGCCGCCATGTGGGTGCTGGGAATCGAATCCAGGTCCTCTGCAAGAGCAGTCAGTGCTCTTAACTGCTGAGCCATCTCATCATATTTTTAATCCCATTCAGTTCTAATATCAATAAAAGCCGATTTTCCTAGGCACAAGAATCCTAAGACGACAGTGCTACTGCATTATTCCATTTTCCAGATGAAAATCAGTGTCACAAAAGAGCAGAGCAACTCATGCAACAGTTCATTCTGCTGATTCTAGAACTATGTTCCTTGCTGTTTCATGCTCTCTCCCCTTTCAACATGCCCTCCGCTCCATCAACACTACCTCAAAAAAAAAAAAAAAAAAAGTCTAGTGCCTCTGGGTATGCGGGCAAGGACACTAAACTTCCATCTCTCCCTGTAGCAAACACTGATCTGCACAGAGGTCTCCAGTCTGTGTGCCCACAAGTCCCCCTCTTATCTAACTGGCAGAGAACTTGATTGTTACTAGTAGCACATTTGAGTTTGCCTCTGGAACATGGAGTTGTGAAAGCCCTGGGAGTTCCTGGGGATCAGTAAAGACAAGCCAGCAGCCAGGGACAGAGAGGCCCCTACCTCCAGCTGCAGTCCTGCCCACAGGGATTCCTCTGGGGCCCTTCATCTGGTGTTGCAAATTTCAAGGGACCGTGTCATGAAGAGCTCTTAATGCCGTTCTGTCTGCCCAGCATACTGAGCACATCTGGTCTGCTTGGGATCTGACCTCCTGACCTCTGGCACAGGACAGACAGAGCCTATTGTTTCCGTACCTACAGCACTATCCCTCACAGAGGTCATGCCCCATGCCAGCCTCCTGGCTCTGGAGTCCTGTTTTCTCTCCTGGAACACCAGTCTGGCTTCTTCCCTCGGCTCCTTCAGATCTTAGTGCAAACATCGCAATCTCTGGAAGGCTTCACCTGACCACCCCACACATTTATTTATTTTTGAGACAGGGTCTCATGTATCCCAGGCTGACCTTGAATTTGCTATGAAGCTGAGGATAACCTTGAACTTCTGATCCTCTTGTCTCCATCTCTCTAGCACCAGGATCACAGATGGGTGCCACCATGCCTGGTTTATGTGGTGCTGGCCACTGAACCCAGGGCTTCATGCACGCTAGGCAAGCACGAGTGTCTTATATGTAGTACAGTAAGGCCACTTGGTTCTGAACACCAGCACTGCCACTCAGTACTGGGTGACCCTGGGCAATCTCTTCATGCCTCTGAGCCTCAATCTCAGCATCCGATACATGGGCTAACCATGTTTCATTGACAGCTATGGGGATGGAGTATAAGGGAACTCCACCTGCTGAGCTCCAGAGCTAGCAGGCTTGAGCACTCAGTGAGGCTGGATCTTGTTGCTGTTATAGAAAGGAGCCCAGTCCTAGCCACTGGCTCAGGCTGGCTGAAGAACTCCAAGGTTGTTAGAGCCCAGAGGCTATGGAGTTTGCTGGTAATTAGAGGACTAGAAATGCAGCCTGTGTCCTTTGGGTTTCAGAAGGATGTAGGCTCAAGAAAAACCAGCCTGGATGAAAACTTCTCAGTGGCCATGGGAATTATTCCAAAGAACTGTCTGGGCTGAAAGTGTGACTCTGGAAAAAGGCAACAGGACCCCAAAGCCACTAAGTCCCTGAGTTTATAATTAACCGACAAGCACCAGCTCTTCAGAATCTGGAGCCCAGTAGCTCACCAGGGAAGGGCACTGTAGTCACACAAAAATAACCCCCCAGTGGGTTTTTGATGTGTGGTGCCTCTTTGTTTTTCTGAATTTTAATGAAAGTCTTTCCAGGCAGGAGGAAGCACTCAGCAAGCACCCATTCCTGTGGTCAGGGAATGGGCCCTGGCTGGCCGTGGCAGCCGGCACAGGGCCTGAGCGGCCAGCAGAGGCATCAGGGGGAAATCTCCTTGTCTTCTGTAATATCTTGGGGAGAAAGTGAGAAAAAAACAGGATGTTGTGTTTAGGGAGAGGGTGGGGCTCTGCACCCATCTCAGTACATTCTGGAAAAGCTGGAGATCAGAGCCACAGCTGTGTGCCAAGGTCAGGGCTCTTGAAAGCAGGAGTGAAGAGCCCAGCTTCCTAAGAGAGTGCTTCGATTCTCAGGGCTACCAGACTGGCATCTCCCATCTCCCAGCAAGGGTCACCAGGAGGCTCTAGGGACCTGTGGCAGGAGGGAGAAAGGACAGTGCCACCGAGACAGCCACCTACCCTGCCCCTTACTACACCCACTGCTTGCTGCTCTAGAATAACTTGGTGAAGCCACAGCCTCGCCAATGTACTAGATGGCCCCAAAGTCAGAAAAATGCCACACCCACTCTCCCAGGACTCAGGTGGAAGCTGTCTGCAATGTCTTGAGGTTCCACACTCCAGGGAGCTGCTGAGGACTGACAACTGCTCCTACGAACACCCATCCTCCCTCTACGCTTTTGAACTTGCTCACATGCTCTTCGTGTGGCGAGTTCACAGAGTTCTTACCAGATTGTTTAAAAGTCGCCCTCCTTCCATGTATGATGATCATGCCTGTCGTTCCAGCCATTGGAAGACTTGAAGTAGAAGGACTGGAAGTTCAAGGTGAGTCTGGGCTACACAATCAGACTATGTCACAAGAGGGACTGGAGAGATGGATAAGAGGACCAGGGTTCATGGTTCCCAGCACCCATATGGTGGCTCACAACTATTTGTAACTCCAGTTCCAGGGGACCTGACACTCTCTTCTTGTATTACCAGGCACACACATGGTGCACAAACATACATGCAGGCAAAATATTCATATACACAAAAAAAAATCCTAAAGCAAAATGTCTTCCTTCACTCATAGAGTCTTTCTAAGAGGGTACTGGAAAGAATGGAAGAAGTGGTCACAGAGTAAAGCCATTTATTGACTTGGAGTTTTTCAACATAGTCTACGGAAAATAAATATTTTTATTACAAAATATTCTGTTTAAAAATTCTAAGCTGCTTGCAAGCTCCCTTGGTTTTAGACTTTGCATTTGTTCCTAGATCAGGTGTGTCTAGGTGGTCCCACAGGGTCTTCCTTCTCTGTCTGCAGCAGGTCCCACTCAGTGAGGAGCTCTGAGGAGACCTCGGTGTACAGATGGCCCCAGTCCCAGCCTACGTCATCCTGCCAAGATAGAGATCACTCCATAAGACAGAGAAAAGCCTTCCCCCTGGTCTGCAGCCAACTTCCCACCCTACCTGGCTCCAGGGATGCACAGGCCAGGCTGGGGAGCCGGCTTGCTCCAGAGGGCTAAGGGCAGGGAGCAGGAGCACCATACCTCTCGCACTTCATGCTCTGGCGCAAGTACTTTGGTGAGGAGCTTCAAGTCAATCTCACCATCCTGTAAATGCACAAAAACACCAGGCTGGGCCCTCAAGGGTATCAGCAACTCTCTTACAAAGTAAGGAGTGGAGTTTGTGTGTATAATAGGACTCCCCAAACTGAGTACCCCAGAAATGCCTTGATCAAAGAATAAAAGCTTGAGTGAGTTACATGGTCACTGGGAAAGGAGGAAGTCTACGTGGCATCCCCCACACTGGGAACATACTGGGGAAAAGCAACACCAGGAGGGCAGAGCACATCCACAATATCAGGTGCCATCGTGTGCCAAGAGTGCAGCCAGGGAACAGGAAGTGGCATGCAGATCCCTGGCCTATGGTTGGTTTAGGCATGCTGTGAGATGGCCAAGGACGTCACCTCCAGCTTTTCCAGGCAGCCTCCAGGATGTGGAGGAAGTGTGTACAGCTCTGGAGGGACCAAGACCTGTTCCCATGAAAGCCCGCCCTCTGGGCAGAGAAGTTGGTCCACTCACCAAGGTCTGAAAAGCTGAGTACTTCATGAGGTCATTGTCCAGGTCACGGTAGGTCATCACACGGTTTACCTGGATACTGAGGGAAAGAAAGTGCAGTAACCACAGACAGCATCAGTTCTAGTGGAACTACTGGGTCGCCATCTCCAGAACCTCATGTGCAGACAAAATGTCCTAACAAAGGGGGAGAGGTAGGATGGGGCCCATCACCAGAAAGATCTGGATCTACATGGGAGTCAGCAAGGCCCACTACAGATGGCATCTGGGCTGTGTCCATGTATATATCCTTGGCTTCCTTACAAACTGCACACCTAGCTTCACATACCTTGGAGGGGATGCCACCTGCAAAACAAAGTCTTCTTCCTGTACATCTTCCAGATCCGGAATCACAGGAATATCTGCAATGAGAGGTGGGGGCATGACTGTCCACAGCACCAACAGGGCTCCTCCTGCCTCGACACTTACTGCTTAGTTGAAGTCACCTTTAACATGCCAGTCCTGGTGCTGTGGCTGGGTTTCATGGACACTCAGACAGTCAAAGGTGGAGTGCCAGCCATGTCTGAGCCAGAGGCCTTATCTGAGAAGGATCTCCTAGTAGTTCTGGTGCCTTGAGTTTTCCTCAGTCACTGTGCAGGCACCAGGGAGGGGGCCTTGGAGTGGATCTCCATGGAGAATTGTAAAGAACCGGAAGGAAATCTTGGCCCCTGGTGATGGGCTTCCATGAGGGCAGATGAAAGTGGTGCCAATGGGCCTGGCACAGTCAGAGACAGAAAGGGCAGTGTGTGGTATCATAGGCAGAAGTGACACCCACCATGTGCTGGATAGCTTTAGTGTCAACTTGACACACCTGGGTTGAGGGAGCCTCAATTGGGGAATTTCCTCTATTGGACTGACCTGTGGCCATGCCCATGGGGCATCTTTTTTGACTATTGAGTGATGTGAGAGGGCCCAGCCCACTGTGGGTGGTGCCACCCCTGGGAAGGTGGGCCTGTGTGGCATAAGAAAGCAGGCTGTGCAGGGGCCAGGAGAGCAAGCCAGTAAGCAGAGTTTCTCCACGGCCTGTGCTCCAGGTCTTGCCTCCAGGTTTCTGCCCTGAGTCCTACCTTGGACTCTCCGATGAACCGTGATCCGTGAGATGTAAGCTAAATAAACCCTTTCCTCCCTGAGTTGGTATTGGTCAGAGTGTTTTGTTACAGCAATGGAGACACAAACTAGGACACACCATGACCAAGATCTATACATGCATTAGCTCCAGACAGCAGTTCAACAGTTGTCCCAGTCCTGCTCCTGGCTGCTCGCCTACCTCTGAAGGACATTTGAGCCCCATGACAGAACCTGGCTCCTAATACTGTACCTGGGATTAGGTTCCTCGCGTACAAGCTCACTGTAACACAGCACCGAGTCTAACAGTCCCACTACTCTTGCTCTTAGGGAGGTTTCCTTCTCTGAACTCTCTAGCCGTGATTACAGACATGTGCAGCGACAGGAGACCATGTCTTCCATCAGTCTTAATGTCACACAAACAGAGGAATGAAGAGACAAGCATGTTACTTCATTATGGCAACATAGGTTGCCAAAAAATTGCCCATGGAGACAAGCCAGTGTGCCAAAGACACATTTCCTCCAAATGCGTATCACTAGCTGATTCTGGGGTTTTGTTTTAATCAATCAGAGCAAAGAAAAAACGAGGTGGGACAAGAAGAAAGGGGCAAAGTGGTCCTTGGATTCCTAAACCAATTCCAAATACACAACAAAGGGAAAAAAAATCCCATAGACTAGTGCTTCATGGCCTGAATTCAATTTTACTTCCGAAGGAGGCACAGAATCATTCCTAGAACAGCTGGGAAGACTCTCGCCACTTCCAGCCATTCATTATTTAGACTCTGAGATTGCTCTAGTTAAGCCAAGCCAGAGTATATAAACGCCAGTTCCAAACTCAAGAGTCTTTATTACTACTTCCAACACCAATTCACAGACACTGTACCTGGAAAAGAGTGAGCAAAGGAGAGGCAGAGACCTGGAGAGAAAGAGACAGGCAGGGAAAGGGAATCCTGAGGAGGGATTAAAAATAAAGAGAAATTGCCAACAGGAAATAAACAAGAGGCACAGATACCAGTTTCAAAATAATGAGCAACACTTTGCAAGTTCTGCATCTAAAAAGCAGCTCTACATGGTGGCCCACGCCTTTAATCCCAGGGAGGCAGAGGCACGCCGATCTCTGTGAGTTTGAGGCCAGCCTGGTCTTCTTAGCAAATCCAGGCCAGCTAGGGCTACAGGGAGACCCTGTCTCAAAAAAAAAAAAAGGCAGATCTTCAGAGCTAAGTTTCTCTTAAGCTTGCTTAAAAAAAGAAACCCCTAAAACAAACAAAAACCCCCAAATACAAGAGATGGAATTCCCTAAGATTCCATTTCTTATGCTAACAGAAAGTTAGCTTTCTTTTTCACTCTCCCTGTGATCAATACATTGATTGTGCAAGTGAGGGGGGCTGGGCTCTCTGGCTAAGACCACACAGCCCTGCAGAGGGACAGGAAGCTGGCTGCGGCCTGTGCCATCCACACAGTGACAGTTTTGGAGTGGGCCAGTTAGCAGCTCACTGTTGGCTCTCCTTGGCTATGGGGCCCAGCCTGAGATGAATATTCAGAAGTTAGTGAGAAAATGCCTCATGCTGCGTTTGGGGCTCAGGATGAGGTCTTCCCCAACTCCTCTTTCCCTCCACAACTTCAGCATTTGGATCCTGTCAACTCAGCCCAGCATCTCTGAGCTCCGAGGAATTGTACTTCTGCCCAGTGTCCACTGTCACTCCCCATGGGCTTTCCTGTTGGTCCCCACTCCCCCCCTCCAAATGTGCACAAAAGAGTGTGGGGCCGGCCCATCTGTGATAGATCAGGGGTCAGCACAGGCCTTGGCAAAAGGCTGCTTGGAGTGGCACTAGTGGGGCTGGCCACACAGTGGGATTTCTCTCTAATTGGAAGCCTGGTGCCCAGTAGAACTCAGTGAACTGCCTAAGTGGGACAGAGCCAGCGATGACAGCCAGGCCAAGGCAAGCTGGAACATTCCGGTGCAGTGACAGCTTGAGCTATCGCAGCAGAGGTAGGCCATCCAATTCCCTGCTCCCAGTGGAACAGGTGGCCGTGGAGCAGGCTTTGGGCAAACTTCAAAGAACTTCACAATTTTACAGCTTTCTGATTTACAGTCACAGACAAGTGCTTGCTTATATGTTTGGAAGACATTGTGAGGAACTGGTTTTCTCTTTCTCTTCATCCCTTCCCCCAATTTGCCGTTCTGTCACATATGCCAAATAAAACAAAATGGACTTCAGAAACCTGTTTCTTCAGGGCTGGGGCAGTGGCTTGGTGGGTAAAGTGCTTGCTGTGAAAGCATGGGGACCCGAGTTCAGATGCCCAGCACCCATGTAAAAATGCTGGGTGTGGCAGCATCACCTGTAATTCCAGTGCTGAGGCAGGAACACCCCTGGAGTTCACTGGGCTACCCACCTAGCCAAAATCAGTGCGCTCCAAATTCAGTGAGAGACCCTGTCTCAAAAAATAAGGTGGAGAGTGACAGAAGACACCTGATGTTGACCTCTGGCCTCCACATGCATAGGTGTATACACCTGCACATACAACACACACACACATGGAATCCTCACCATCAAATTACCTGTAAGAAAACATCCAGCCCTGCTCCCTGGACTGCGAGGTATTGGGCACATATAGGTTGTAAAATATAATACCTTGAGAGCACACAGTTCTAACAGGGATCAGAAGAGGAGGAAGAGGAGTCAGTTCTGATACTACTGAGAAGGGATTGCTATTTTATCTTTTTTTTTGCAGTATTGGAGCTGAACCCAGGATTCTACACGTGGTAGACAAGTATTCTTCTACGGAGCTATAGGCCCAGCCCATCTAACACTATGTCTAAAAGCCAATAATTCTGTCTACTTTGTCCTTATTTTCTGTTATGCTAAAGCACTGGCAGTAGCCTTGAGGCAGGCAGAGCAGGTGTGCAGAATTCCTGCCCCAGTCAAGGGTGTAAGCCCTGGAGGCAGGAGCCTGCATCCCCTACCACCCTACTTGTATGGCTTTATCCCCTCTGTGCCTCAGTTTCTTCATCCGTAACATGACGATCACTCCTACCTCATATGGCCACTGAGTATCAAATAAGGTAATATAAAATATAAAGCTCAAATATTTGCTAACTTCTTATTTCCCTGCCAGCTGTTCTAACACTGAGTGTGTAGAGAGACTATGGCCCCATTTTCATTTCCTTATTTAATTCTGATGGTGATCAGTTTTTAGAAGAGAGCATGGAGGTGAAGCAAGATTAAGCAGCTTCTGTGAGGTGATGCCCTTAATAAACAAAGGAGCCAGGCTTCCAAATCCTCCTCTGGGGTTCTCTCACAGGAAACTTTCTTTTCAAATGAAAAGGATGTTCAAAGACACCTCTCATATAGCGGAGGGCTGAAATGCTTCTTACAGCAGGATGTCTTTTCCCTGGGTTCCCATAACCAGATAAACAGAGTCCTCACTGAAGTGCCTGACTCATTACTGTCCTCAAGGACACACAGAATGGCCAAAGTGCACCTGTACTGAAGAACCTGAGACACCACCCCACCATGCCACCATACTTCACTAAACTAACTCCAAGAAGGATGGGGCGGGGCTAGAGAGAGGACTCAGTGGTTAAGAACACTGGCTGCTTTTACAGAGGACCCAGGTTCAATTCCAAACACCCACATGGCAGCTAACAACAGTCTATAACTACAGTTCCAGGAGACTCCAACACCCTCTTCTGACCTCCACAGGCATTGCACAACATGGGTACACTTACACACATGCACATAAAATTAAAAACATAAAATATTTTTAAAAAGAAAGACAAGGGGCCAGGTACTTTCAACAGCTCAAAGAAAGGGAAGAAGAGGTAAGAGCTGTGTGTGATGGCAGCGCCCTGGGACTCATCCCTCACCTCCCAGCTTGGAGCTCTGGCACAGGCAGAGGTGCCCAGGCTAGAGCTGCCCAGGCCAGAGCCCTGACTAAGTTCTCCTCCTATGACAGCTATCTCAGTACGCTGTTAGCCACCTCTCTGCCCCACATGGTGCCTGTTCTTTCACACTGCGGTGGAACATTTGTCTATCAGCTCATCCACCCATCCATCCATCCATCCATCCATCCATCCACTCATTTATCAAGAATACTGACTGAGCCCTCACCATGTGAAAGGTATCATGCTAGGTAACACTAGTAGTAGCAGCAACAAGACAGAGTCCCAGCCTTCAAGGAGTACTAGTCATCAAATGGGGATGAGAAACAGAAATAAACATTCTGCTTATAAATAATACACATCAGACAGAAAACTCGCTGGGTTAATCCTATGACAAAAAAATAGGGAGAACTG